TAACAAAATAACATATTTTAATAAAAAGTTGTAATTTAAAACCAGAACCTATAACTAAATATTAATCAAGTAATTTTTAATTTTCTATAACTGAAAATAGAATATACGTATTTTAAGATTTTTTATTAATAGTTAATATAGTATACAAAGAAATATTAAAAAAATAATAACACGTAAAAAGTTTCAAATGAAGACATAAAATAATTGATCAATATAGTCTTTTAATTAAAAGTGCATGTATTATTAAGTAATTATAAAATGGTTTCTATAAAAAAAAATATAAAATGTTTATGCCTGCATGCACGGACACAACACCTATTAATTAGTTACCCCTAGTTATTGATATGCTCAAATTCACCTTCAAATATATCTCTCAAATAAGAGTATCAGAATGCTTTTACTATTAAGTAATTATAAAAGGATCCTTTCAATTGTTTTTAGTAAAATGCTTATACCCTTATCCGTGGACACAACACTTATTAATTAGTTACACATAATTATTGATATGTTCAAAATAACCTTCAAACATCCCTCTCAAATAAAAAGATCGGTGTAGTAGTTGAAGTTTTTATCCATAGGGATTTAATATTTCACACAATAGACAATCAATTTCAAACGGGTGTAACATATCAGAAAGAAACGCTAGATCTAGGAATTTATCAGACGATGGATTCAAAACTACAATCAATGGTGCCAAAGGTTTATAAGGTTCAATTCCTGAACTCGAATACAAAAAGTAAAATATATTTATTCATATTATAGTAAAATATTTTGACTGTTTTCTAACTTTTGTCCAATTTTGCAGATTCTCATTAGTAAAATTCAGTGTTTTGAAACTCGACTCGGACACCGAACCGGACAACTTTCTGAGTTACCGAGTCATTGAATCGCCTGCAAGTGAACTGTGAGTTAATAAATTAATTAATTTATAATATAATTATATATTAGCTATGAAAATAAATATATATAATTTAAAGTTAAGTAATTTTGAAAAATATAAAATAATAGTTTGGATATGTATATATTTATGTTTTAAAACATTAAAATACTATATTTTTATTAATATATGAGATATAAAATATCAAAACAATTAGACTACTAGATGACAAAAAGAATTTTAGAGTACTCAAAATTTTTTGTTAGAAACATATTAGAAAGTAAAACTTAAAACTATTAGAAACATGTAAAACAAAAAAGATAATATAAACTCACGCAGTTCACTACAAAGAAGGAAAGCATAGTAGAATTTAGAATTTAAAACATGTGAAATGTAGTAAACAAGATTTATGATAAGCAAAATAATCAAAAAGCAAAAAAAAAAAGGTCAGCAGAGGAAGAAGGCAATAAAACTGGAAACCTAATTTCTCAATTAAAAATTTAGACTACACAACATATTTTAAAACATAATTAAAAACTAAAAAAGAGTATGTAAAATTATTTATTGGTTCAACCAGTGATTCAACCGGTAACTGAATTCCAGGTTTTAGTGGTTTTTTTGCAGAATTTCTTGGATCGGATCGGGTTTCAAATCACTGATTGGACGTAGTTGTACAACACAACCGAAAAGTCGCATTCATTCCCCTTTATAATCCAAACAGTTTCATTCATCAAATCTGACATCTATCTATAAATATCCTCCCCTTCATTTGAGTAAAAAAATCTTAAGAAGAAGGATGAAGAGATTCTTGGACACATCCTTCTTCATTTACTTTTGTGGAGGATTGGACACAAAAATCTTTGAGATTCTTGGACACAAGTATCTTGGACACAAAAAATATCCTCCCCTTCATTTGAGTAAAAAAATCTTGGACACAAAAGTAAATTTTGTCAAACTTTGAAAAAATATTCTTCACAGGTTTTGTCACATTGACAACTCTTATGATGACGCGTCTGGATAAAAAGGAGATAGAAGCTATCTTCAGACGATCCTCTGAACCAGTTTCTCTTTACTTAAGACAAGTTCTTTTGCTGATATTTTTATTTACATTTCTCATTCCTTGGCAAAGTTTTAATCCTCACTTTTTGTCACATATATAGGTCATTCACAATTTGTACGATGATGCTGCATACGAAGCATGGAGAAGCCATTCTTTCTGAGGAGTATATAAATCAAAATCATTTTCAAATGTTATATAGAAAATATTAAGTTTATATATATAAATATAGAAACTGAAACTGGTTTACAAAATCACTTTACAAATTAAAATCGGTTTACATAAACAGTATGAAACTCCTCCACACATGGAAGCCAGGCCAAATGTTAACAGATGAAGAAGTCAAACCGAAAATCTAAATATACATTACAATAAGTAGAGGAATAGACAACTCAACGGATGCTCACATTTTAGAAAATATTTAACCAACAAATTCTTGAGCATGTTATGCGGTCGCCTTTTTGAATATTTTGCTTTGACAACGGTTCTTGCAATGCTTGGCATAATAGTCTAGAAAATCCACTTTTGCCAAGAATTTGAACCTCGTCCCCCTTACTTGTGTAGTAAGATTTACCACCACCAAGCTTCATATATGGGTCATTAATCATTATCAAATAAGCAATTAACATGAAATATGCTGAACAATAGTTGCATCAATAGAACACTTTTGTGTCTGTATCTTTTTAATCACGTTCACACACCTCCCACCAATCGCTCTCACATACTTCTTCCCCGTATAAAAATGGTCAGAAAGTGATTCTCATGCTTATACTTTGCTTTGTATGAAAAGCCTCCGTGTAATGTTTACGTATAAAAAGACATAAAATCAACCAACATAGTATTTTATGAAACATAATGAGATGAGAGCTCATATTCTCATAAATCCATTTTACACCATAGGAAAATCAAGATTCTTTAGGTTTAATCAATCCTTTTGACTCGAAGTATTCCATCATCTCATCATACATATCGCTGATCCCATATTCAAAGCGAAAGCCTTCCTTGATGAGTTTTTCAGAGGATAGCGTCAGTTTTGCACTTGATAAGCACTCTTCAAATCTGCCAAATTTCACAACGCAAATAAAAATCAGAACTTTTTTCAATGCAAAATTTGCAATTTCTTGTGAATATGTATGCTTACTCTGACAAAACATTGTACTTAGGGTATCTTTGTCTGAGAAAATCCGCAATCTCCGGAACATTTGTGTTGTAAGAACAGCAAATGTAGCGACCAGAAGCTGTTTCTTTCTCCGCAAGAAACAAATGTGCACGAGCTAGGTCATCCACGTGGATGAACGAGATGGAGCCAGATAGCTTCTGCATTTCCTTGAGACCGATCAGATACATTTCTTTCCCTAACAAGAAAACCAAACATCTTGGCTTCTTAACTGTGATACTTAAACAGAAAAGTGGTCAAATAGAATATTTATGTTTACCAGTGACTAAAGACATTGAGAGAGATAAACTGCTCGGAGGATCAGAGAGGAGAGAGTTTCCAGCTATGAGTGCTGGAACCACGGTAACGAGATCGATATTATGCTCTTCCGCATATATACATGCTGCCTTTTCTGCTAACATCTTTGAGACTGGGTAACCCTAGAAAAGTAGCAAAAACAAAAGTAAGTCAACTTCGTCGGGGAAACCTAACTTGTGCAGCAAGAAAATTGTGATTACCCAATTAAACGGCTTCTCCTTTGTGAGAAAATAGATATCAGACCAGTTTTCTTCGTCCACTACAATTCCAGGTCCAGAAAGATTGTTGATAGAAACCGCAGCAGCTGAAGAAGTGTAGATCACGCGCTTGATTGAGTTCGATTTTAAGCAAGATCTCAACACATTGATGACTCCCTGTGACGCTGGATTGATCATGTCTTTCTGTACAATGAAAACATAAACAAGATAGCTGACACTCTTTCTTTTTAGAGTCATAGAAAGAAATGCACAAATATGTTAAAGATCAGACCTCGGGATCTTGAGATGTAAAGTTGATTGGTGTTGCGACATGGAAAACATATTCACAGCCCGAGATTGGTGAAGTGAAACTCCCTTCATGGGTCAAATCCGCCTTGAAGATCTTGAGGTCCCCGAGTTCTTGAAGTACCCTAAGGTGAGACATTTTCTTCTCATTTTCTACAATTTTTTCAGAATAAAGAGTCACTAAACATTCAAAATGCCTTGAGACAAGAAAGAAGAAGAAATCAAGAACCTGGATCTCTAACTGTGGTGTTAACTTTGTAGCCACTTTGAAGCAAATGCTTGATGAGAATAGAGGCTAAGTTTCCTGTGCCACCGATGACACAAGCCTTCTTGATTCTGGTAGCGCTTTGATCAATGGTTGTCATCTGATATTAATTCAAACACACAAAAATTGAGAGTTGTTTGTTAAGAGGTTAAGGTCTTGAGACTTCTATATATGAAGTAAAAGAAAAAAAATATTGGAAAGCTTATAGTCTGCTCATTTGGTACAACCATTGATCAAAAGGCTTTTCAGAAGGTAAGCACGTGACCTTTGACACAACTAACTTATTTACCTTCTTCCTCTTCTTTTAATTCTCACAACTAACTTGTTTAAGAATCAGAAAAGACCTGAAACTTTTTTGTTGACTTGCTGACTTGTTATCATCTACTCGGCATCTCAAGATTTTTTTTTAAAAAATGGTTTCTTTTAAACCAATTTTTATCTTTCTTTTTATTAATCAAGAAAAACCAATTTTTATCGTCTGACCTGAAATTTGGCAGAATAAAACCATTTGATGGATCATAAATTGCTAGAATCTTGTTTATATTCCCGAACCAAATTGATAACCAAACAGTTTGTAAAATATCCAAAAGATAGATCATAACAGGGGAGAAAAAAAGTAAATCCTAAGATTAAAAAAAAAAGAAAGAGAGAAGCGTAAGTAAACCCAATCAATCAATCAATCATTCTAATGACTTCTTAGATGCTTCAGCGATCATAGAGGTCACTTGATGCAAAATCTCAGTCTTCTGCAACACAAACTCAATCTCCTTAGCCTGCAACATCTTAACCTTCTCTTCAACTCTCTTCTTGGCCTCCACAGGCACCTAGCCCCATCTCTGCTTCACATAATGCTCATCAACACCAAAACCCGTAATCACTCTAACAAGAAACGACTTCTCAAACCAATCATATTTCTCCTCCACATCTCCTCCATCAACAACAGCTTTACCATTGGGAGAAGAAGCAAAAGAGAGTTCTTGCCTAACAGAGTTCTTCTTCTTTTTCGATACACCGTTGGACTTAATGGCAGAGTCAAGACCCATGCTATCAGGGCCCCAGATATATTTGCACAATCTATAAGACTTCTGATCATGAGGTTTGGTGAAAGAAGGCTTCTCTTTACCCATATACTTCCTCTTTAAACTCCTAAGCTTATCCATGAACTGGTTCTTACTAACCCCAAAGCTAATGGATTCTTTGATGAAATCGTAGTAGGCATTGATGTCGTCCTAAGGAGAGTTCCCTGTATCGTTCTCGTCATCTTCAGTCCATAGTCTCTGAAAAGCAGGTTTCTTGGAATCTTCACCAATCTTCTTCTATTCGTCCTTCTTTGCTCGCTTAGAGTTCGTCTCCTTTGAAGTCCCTTCACTCGGACGCTTGGTTCTTGATTTCGCAGGAGGTGGACACTTCTCCTTCTTGGATGTTTATGTTTGATTGAGAGGTTGTTATTGAGTTTCGGATTCGGAGTCGGTCTCTGTTTGAGAACCCAAATCTGAATTGGTGGTTTTGCCTGGGACGGGGATTGTGACAGCGGAGGAGGAAGGAGGTTGGTCTTCTCCTTCAATGAAGAATCATCTTCTTGATCATTTTCTACGATGGTGTTAGATTGAGAATTTTGCAATACTCTTAACTCCGCGAGCAAGGAAGACTTCATGACTCAGACTAATCGACTATCAATGGAGAATTTGAACTGATCGAAAACATGGCTGCTAGCTCAGCTAATAAAAATCAAGAAAATGATTGCTCCAAAAAAGCCATCAGTGTTGATATCCAGTGGAAAAACTACTTGACTGCCAAGGTTGATCAAATTCTGAAGAACAACCAAGGACATATCTATCTTATGGAGGAAGCATTAACTGAACAAGTCACTCAAGAGGCTGCAACAGAGGTGGAAAAGAGGGTCAGGAAGATGTCAACTATGTTATTGGGAAAAGCTATTATCCGAACCACAATGTCAGAAACAACTCACACTTTTTCTCCTATCGTAACAATAATACGCAGAGCACTTCATATCAGAACAACCAGACACAAGGTTATGGTTATCAGAGGAGCTTTCACAAGGATTTCAAGGAAAAACTTTGTTTTTAGCCAGGCCCAGAACAAGTTCCAGGGAATGAACTAGCAAAGACCTCAGAACAATCAGCAAGTCGTTCCTGATTGTTTACTTCTTTTTTTCTATCACAAAGTCAATATGATTTCTTTTTAGCGCTATAATAATGCTATTACAAACTATATGAGAAATATTACAAATGACTAGATCCTTTCCCGGGCTACGCCCGGGTTAATGATATATAAATAGTTTGCTATTATATTTTAGAAATGATTTTACATATTAATTTAGTCAAATTTAAATAATTCATTGCATAACTTTTGTATTCTTTTTTTCTAATTTAAGGTAATCAACAATTTTCTATAATGTTTATGAAAGAGTATAAATAAAACCTAACAGAAGTTCGATGATATTACACGATTTGTTTCTTTATCATTTTATAACACATATTTGTAAATCAAAAGAGTTTAAATAAAACCTAATAGAAGTTCGATGATAGCACTCGATTTGTTGTCTTTACCATTTTCTAACACATATTTGTAAATCAAGAAGTAGTCATCATCACAAAACGAATGGGTGCTGTTGCAGAAGGTTTTCTAAAAGCTCTTTGTTCAAAAAAAGAAAAATTGTCACCTTGTGATGTCGAATTTATGTCTATCTGAATTATTGCGATGAATTATTCGCAATTTTTGTATGGTTTGATTTTTTTTTTTTAAAGAAAGGGGATTGTAAATACTAAATCTATCCTCTTTATGTTCTCTTTCTCTATATATCGTAAATCCATAAGCAAAAGAAAGCATTGTTAATTATTTTCTCTATTGTAGTTGTTAAATCTTTTCTCTATTGTATGAGTTTAGAAACATTGTGAGAAAACATACACTTGACTACACTATTAAATGTCAAGGGAAACAATTTACACTGAAAAAATCTTAGGATCTACTAATAAGCAATAGCCTACATTCTTCATTGATGACGACTACAATGACAGAGGTTGGAATGGAAGATGTAGCAGTGGTATGACTTCTTCGGAAAAAAAGAATAATAGCATAAATATAAACAAAACATATAATCGAATGGCAATGCTCTTGTTATAGATTACTACTGTATATACGGTAGCAACAAACTCATAGCCAAAATCACTATTACTTTGGTCTCTCTTAACCACAACGTACTGATTTTCACAAAATTAGGAAGCCACATACGTACGTGATTGATCTATATTTAAATAAAAACAATCTTCAAGTTTTATGACTTTATATAACAAACTTTCATAATAAAAGATTAGTCAATTTAAAAAATATTATTAATCAAATTCATAAAATAAATCAATAACCAATTAGTTTCTTTCATAATCTAACAAAAGACAAAGAGAAATATAAAAATATCAAAGTAAAACTGAATAATCATGAAAAAGATCAATTTGAAGATATTTAAAATTACCTTATTTGTAAGCGACAAAATGAAAGAAAATAATAGAAAAAGTGAACGAAGTATTTTTCTGAAAAGTTTGATATTATTTAGATGTTTTGATAAGAATTAGTTAATTAATGTATAATAACCAACAAAATTATGGACATATTCCAAATTTATTTTAGACACATGTGTACTGATATGTTAGTGTTTCTCTAAATAAATTGACATGTCAAAAAGTACAAAACATAGAAAACCTTAAACCAAACCAATCTGACCGAGATTTTTACTTAATGGTCACCATCAAAGTAGAGCTAAACACTATTAAAAAAACAGAATCAAATATCTCTTTATAATTATTATTTTTTAAATATGTATTTTTAATTTATATTATGTATTTGAGTTATTGAAATAATTTATATTTGTCAAAGTTTGCAATGTATATTACATATTTAAATATATATTAATATTTTAAAATAAATTAAAAATTTATGCAATTAGGCAGTAAGTGCCTCTTGCGGGTGAGTAGAATAACAACCACTCACATAATTTATTCCATTATAATGATGTTCTTCCTAAATAATTATGATAACAAAAAGCAATAATGGACCAATAGAAAACAACATTTAAAAGTAATTTCACTTTAGAAATTGATGGTAAAAAGATAGAAACCACCCAGCCACTTTCAACTGCTGCAGTATTTCATTACTTAAGCCATTTTTGCAATAAAGGATTATTCAACAAAATTATTTTAATATGGTATTTCGTCCATGTAGTGGAAAGGAGGGTTTTAATTAAATGTCTAACATTTCTCTTTTCATTATAAAATTGGTACTTGAGCTGCAGCTTAAAAATAGACAAAAAATGAGTAAAAGTCCACCTTACACGATACGCTCCAGCTCTCTGGCGTAGCTTAGAGTCTGGTTGATGAGCTGCAGAGAAGGAATCTCTTTGCAAGGTGTTGTTTCGTTGGCTTTCTGGAATACAACAAACCCTTCCTTCACTTCCTACTCAGGGTGCTCCTATGAGATTGAATATAAAAACTAATCGCATCAAGGGTTTATGAAAACGAATAAGATCTCAACAATTTGCATAAAATGTTTTGTTGTATTACCTCAATTACAAAGGCTAATAGTTCTTGATAAGAAGAGATGAGCAACATCTGACGGGCATCGCTGATAGAGACATAATCATAAGCTTTCTCGCTGCATCCTGCTATCTCTTTGAGACTGAACTAATTCAGAGAGGTACAGAACTCATTGATGTTGTTACCTAATGGTCTTAGCCAAAAGGTCCATGAAATAGACGTAGGTAGCATCAGGTGCGGTCTGCCTAGCACTGAGGAGACGGTTATAGGAACCTTCCATGAAAGACTGCTCAAGCTCAACGGCAAGCTTGATGCAGGGATTCTCGAGTGTAGCTGAGGAAAGCAACTCGGGCTCGGTGTGGAATTCAGCAATTCTGTTCTGAACAATCAGCCTCAGGAGGTTCAGACCAAGGATAAGATTCTCATGTGGAGATGGGGGAAGACAATTCCTGATGCAGAGAGAAGAGGAAGGAAGTTTAGAAAACAATAAAAAACACTACATCAAGATGAGAAGGAGAGTAGGGGGTAATAATTTGGGGATAAACCTGGCATCGACATAGTAAGGTTTGAGTTGGAAGAAATCTCTCTCGGAAGCATCTAAACCTATGTTGCTCGGGATAAACTGAGTTTGTGAATGATTCAGAATTTGCAGTCATGTAGTCCTGCAAGTCGTTATCACTAAGACCGTGAATATTCTCACAGTGGTCTATCACACCATTACTTGAGGAAGTAGAAGAAGCATGCTCAAAGTTCAAGGCCTCTGATAAATAGCCCAGACTGGCCCTCTCTCCCTGCATCTCCGCTAAACTTTAACCAGTGAGAAGAGGACTCACCAGACCTTTTTCACTTGCTCCTCAACAATGGGGAAACTGCAATAGCACAAAGACAGCAAATTAATTATTCAGTAAAGACAAAAAGGCTTCTATAGAAAATGTTTAATTGTGAAAAGGAACTCATAACACACTCAAATGCTCAATCAAAATATAGGTGATGTTCTTGAGATGATAAGTGTTTGAGCCATAAGTGTTCTTGATCTTTAGCAAATCATCATCATCTCCTCTGAATCCTGATACATTTGTCCGTATTTGTGTAGATCATACCTGAACGCCAGATGCAATGTTCCACCAATAAAAACAACAGTGCCGGCCAAAATGGTAATATACAGAAAAGCCAACAAAGAGACCAGAGAACTTACCTTCCATATTGCTGAAGAGAAGCAAGGTGTGATCTTTTGACATTAGCAGAAGCTGTTTAGACCGGATTCAAAAATCACCAGCTAGAGTTGCAAAAGCAATTGTTTTTTCAACTCCTGAAGAGAGGGAAGGAAACATCAGTTAGAACTTAGAATATAAACTAAAATCTACATAGCTGACCATGAGATCCACATCATAAAGTAAAACAATTTGCCAAAATTACCTCGCTCACGGCTCAATCCATGAAACGATTTGCAGTCTAACAAAAAACATAAAGAGCATTCGTTAATAAGTATGAAAAAGCAAATTACACTTATACCATGATTCAACAACCGCCAGATAAACTTACAAAAATAGCATGAGAGCAAGTTCTAATCTTTTTTTTTCAGTTCTAATGTGTGTAACAGAATGCACACTTGGTCTGTCGGTACCACGAATGTTATACTTTTCATATACTCTTTCACGGTTCTCTGTCACCATGCCTCTGCTTGTTGCTCCTTGAATCTTCTCCTGCTGCAAAACAAACAAAAATTAAAAAATTGGTACTCTCTACGTTCTGATCAATGGTAGCAAAACAAACCAAACGTTTATAATTTATATGAAACAGTGAAGCTGAGAAGAAGGGATTTAACCTTTGTGGAAGGCAGAAACTATCGTACATTGACTGACTATGACATTTCCGTTGAACTCAATTTGCCGTTTTCGGAGTGGGCTTCTCAACAGGAGCCTTACCATGAGGCTTGATGACAATTGCGCCGGAAGCAGAAGACTTGGCCCTTTTGCTGAGCAGTGGCGGAGGATGGGAGAATATTTTTGTTGGTCTTCTCGCCGGCAGAGACAGTAGATATCGCTTTGGGTTCCATCGGCAAGTTCGTGAGAGAGAGTAGAGGGAGTAATAAGTTTAATGGATAACAAACAAAATTGGGGAGGAAGGTGAAGAGAGAAATCCATTGAATGAGATTAACTGAAGACTGAAGTAGCTAATTGATTAGCACAGGAGTGGGGATTAATGGTGAAAACTGAAGAGAAGAGATCACATAAGAGGAAGTCGAAAGATTAGAGGAGGATCTGGAAACTCTGTTTCTTCTGCCGACAAAAGCAAAACCCGTATTTGACAAAACCAAACCAAACATCCTAATTTATTTCAGAGCCAAAATCAAATGGCAAACCGAAGTCGACGTGGAGGATTGAAACAATACTATTGGTTAAATAAAACTGTCAACGTGGACACTCTAATATGTCTTGAATTAGTACTTTTAATAGTAATAGATTCTACAGCCGATCATTCTACCTGCCTTATGAGAATTCACACATAACTACATCACCTAAGCCGTCTTATCGGATCCACCCTGGATGGTACTCTCTACGTCATGCTGCAGATCTCTTGTATGCATTTCATTTAATTCGCATAATTTCACCTTTTTTAGGATTCAAAACCACACCTCGTGGTGCAAAAGCATTAATGAACTCTTAGTCAAACCACTGGACCAAATGGGTTTCCACAAGTCAAAGAGGGTAATTGGTTGGGTTGTTAGTAGTGCCTTTAGCTTTAATTTCTATCAACAACCATTTAAATCATCAATCATGTTTTAAGAGCATCTCCAATGTAAAACTCCATTTATTCCTCCAAAATGGAGTAAAAGAGAATATGGAGTAAAAATGCTCCAGTCCATAATGGAGTGAGGAACAAACAAAAAACAGATTAGTAAACTCTATTATGGAGTAGAAAATGGAGTAGGGTTGGGTGTTTTTTACTCCATATTTCCTTTTACTCTATTTTAGAGTAAAAAAATAGAGTTGGGTTGGAGATGCCCTAAGCAGTTTTTAAAACTAAAGTAAAAAAACTGAAAATTGGTTATAGGAACCCTATTTTCCAAAGCAAAAAAATATTGCTGTAAGATTGCCGTAGAAATATCTTTCCTTTTATATTTTTCTCATTTAATTTCTTCAACTACATTAGATATAAATACATCAAAAAAATATATAATCTGAGTTCTTTAGTAAAATTTCTACTTCTAGAGTTCAACCAATCACCTTCAATATGATTTATTTATACTCCTATTTATTTATTTCAGTTTACTTATTATCAGTTGAAAATTTCAGTGAATGTAGAAAAACAATTGAATTTTCAATCTTGTAATATACACATAATAATTCTTAATTAGAAGTCAAACGACATGAAACACATAATCATAATTACATAAATGAGGTAATAGTGCAAATCATTAGGCACGTACTGAATTAAATACACATATACACCATTTAAGGATAATTTTGGGAATCATTTATAATAAATGTTTAGAATACAGACGAAATGGTGAACAAATCAATTTGGAAGCATATTAATTAAAGAATTTTTCAAATTATAATTTTGACAGATTTGATCAAGTGAAATAAACCGGACATCTCTTGTCTTTAATCCCAGGTAACAACATGCCATCCCAGCCGACCTCAACGTAACAGTTTGCGTGCATCTTATGCCTCTTACTGTGCCACGAGTACACCTTAAACCGTATCACGGACACCACATCCAAACGGAGCACTACCTTCCCTTGATTCCTGTCTCGTCCCATCTCTTTCCAACGGTCCTTATTCACTACCATTGTGGGCCCACGTGTTATATTGGTGATGAAGAATCAGCTATGTTGGAAGCTTAAACCACGTCGAGATTGACAATTGGGTTATATGGCAGTTTGGTTTAAACAGCCGGTTAAATATTACTCATGGTTTACGGTTAGGTTAAAAACCGGTTATCAGTTGTAACAACCCTTGCCTAATATAAAAGCAAGGCTCGTGAGTTGTATTAGTTATCAGAGAAAGATAGATTGTACTAGGGTTACAACTTTAGGTCACAACCATCACGTGATCTTGGAGAGTTAGTAATTTGCCTTGCCAGGCCCCAGAGACGTAGCCACATCGGTGAACTCTGGGTAATCAATTAATCTCTGTGTGCTCCTGTCTTATTTTTCGTTCTTCATACAATTCGTGCATACTCGTGTTCCTGAGTGTTTTCCGTGAGAGTTTCGTGTCGTGAATTGTGCAACGTAACTCGAAGTTGAACGATTCGCGGATTAGGTCAAACATCTAAAACGAACTTGAACCCTAACAAGTGGTATCAGAGCACCGGGTAGCTGAGTTTTGGACTGTTGAGTCAATGACGTCGAAGGCACGGATCGAGGTAGAGAGGTTCGATGGCAAAGGAGATTTCTCCTTGTGGAAGAAGCGTATGCTTGCTCATCTTTCAGTCTTGGGGTTGAAGGATGTGTTACTGGAGCAGACATCAATTCCGAAGTCTGTGAAGAAGAAAGACGAGGATGAAGATGTGTTTAAAGAGAGGCTGGAGAAGGAAGAATCAGAGAGGTTGCAGAGATCTGAGAAAGCGATGAATCTCATCATCCTTAACGTTGGCGATCATGTACTGCGGAAGATCGAGGCGTGTACTGACGCTGCATCGACTTGGTCAACGTTGGAAAGGTTGTATCTCTCTAAATCTTTACCTAATAGGATACACCTGCAGCATAAATTCTACACGTTCAAGATGAAAGAGTCTCAGACAATTGATGAGAATATTGATGATTTTTTGAAGATAGTTTCAAACCTTTCAAGTGTGAACGTGCAGGTATCTGAGGAAGTTCAGGCTATTCTCCTGATGGAATCACTTCCAAGTCAATACAGTTACTTGAAGGAGACACTCAAGTATGGAAGGGAAACATTGTCCCTTGAGGAAGTCACGAGTGCTGCTAGATCAAAGGAGCTAGAAATCAAGGAGTCAAAAGATTTTAGCTCTGGATCATCGCAGAGAAACGGTGAAAGTTACTTGGCTCGTGGCAGACCTGTTAAGAGAGAGACGTCAGGTAGCAGNCAAGTCAATACAGTTACTTGAAGGAGACACTCAAGTATGGAAGGGAAACATTGTCCCTTGAGGAAGTCACGAGTGCTGCTAGATCAAAGGAGCTAGAAATCAAGGAGTCAAAAGATTTTAGCTCTGGATCATCGCAGAGAAACGGTGAAAGTTACTTGGCTCGTGGCAGACCTGTTAAGAGAGAGACGTCAGGTAGCAGTGGTAGGAAGGATAAAGGAAGATCGAGATCTGGTTCAGGTTCTAGGGTCACGTGTTGGTACTGTAAGAAAGAGGGACATGTGAAGAAGGATTGCTATGCTCGTAAGAAGAAGTATGGTGACGATGAATCTGGGGAAGCTGCGGTTGTAGTGGATCAAAGAGATGATGCCTTGTCTGTATCTGACAATAGGCATAAAGATGAATGGATTCTCGACTCTGGATGTTCCTATCACATGACATCAAGAAGAGATTGGTTTGATCAGTTCCAGGAGCTTAATTCAGGACAGGTGCTGTTGGGAGATGACAATGCTGTAGCAGTTCAGGGAATAGGGACGATAAACGTTAAGGCCTATGGAGGAACTGTTAAGGTTCTCACAAATGTGAGGTATATTCCGAAGCTCAAGAGGAATTTGATATCTACTGGTACTTTGGACGTGCTTGGTTTTAAGCACTCAGGTGGAGAAGGGAGAACCAGATTCTATAAAAATGGAAAGCTGGCGCTTCAAGGTACGTTGAAAGGCTCGCTCTACTTGTTCGACGGTGAGACAGTGGCTGGACAAGTGAATAACAGTGTGCAGAAGAAAACTCTGGATGAGACCAGTCTTTGGCACAAACGACTTGGTCATCTCAGTGTCAAGAGTTTACAGATACTTGCTAAAAGAGGAATCTTGGATGAAAAGAAGATTGGGGTTCTGGCCTTTTGTGAAAACTGTGTCATGGGAAAGCATAAGAAGTTGAGTTTCCATACAGGGAGGCATGATTCAGGTGAAGCGTTGAAATATGTTCATGCGGATTTGTGGGGTTCCACAAGTGTAACTCCGAGCTTGTCCAAGGCGCAGTATTTTCTGTCAATCATTGACGATTTTACTAGAAAAGTATGGGTATTCTTCTTGATGAATAAGAGTGAAGCTTTCAGCAAGTTCAGAGAGTGGAAGAAGCTTGTTGAAAATCAAATCAACAAGAAGGTTGGTTGTCTCAGAACCGATAATGGTTTGGAGTTCTGTAACTCGGAGTTCAATGGTTTCTGTAAGAGTGAAGGCATTGAAAGACACAGAACTTGTGCATACACGCCACAGCAGAATGGTGTTGCTGAGCGGATGAATAGAACAATCATGGAGAAAGTAAGGTGCTTACTTGATGAGTCTGGTCTAAGAGAGGAGTTTTGGGAAGAAGCTGTGTCTACAGCTGTTTACTTGATCAATAGAAGTCCTGCATCTGCAATTGATCATGAGATACCAGAAGAACTGTGGATAGGAAGAAAACCTGGATATAACCATCTAAGGAGATTTGGATCAGTGGTCTACATACACAAGGATCAAGGCAAGTTAAAGCCAAGGGCGATCAAGGGTGTATTCACAGGATATCCGGCTGGTACAAAAGGTTACAGAGTGTGGTTGCTGGATGAAGAAAAGTTTGCAATCAGTAGGAACGTGTTGTTTACTGAGGATGTTGTGTTTAAGGATCTGAAGAAAGAAACAGCAACAGAAGTTGTGTCAGAGGATCCGGTACTTGTGCAACATGAAGCTGAAATTCGAACAGGTACTGAAGCGGTTGAGGTTTCAGGTGGAGTTAATATTCAGACTGAAGAAGAGTCACGGGATTCAGGGTCAGAGTCAGAAAATGAAGAGGTTCAAGGTAGTTATAGACTGGCGAGAGATAGACCTCGCAGGCAGATTGTTCCACCTTCAAGGTTTGATGATTATGAAGTTATTGCAGCCTTTGCGCTAGTGGCAGCTGCAGATATGATTGCAGTGGAACCTTCAAGTTATCAGGAAGCTATGAACAGCAGTGAATCTGATATGTGGAATGGGTCTATGGGAGAAGAGATGAACTCTTTGGAAAAGAATGAGACTTGGAACCTGGTTAAGCGTCCTAAGAAGAAGAAGGTCATCGGCTGCAAATGGGTGTATAAGAAGAAGCCAGGGTTAACAGAAACAGATGACCCAAGATTCAAGTCCAGACTCGTGGCTAAGGGTTACTCACAGAAGGAAGGTGTTGATTATCACGACATCTTTGCACCTGTGGTGAAACATGTGTCCATAAGGTTGCTCCTGTCGATTGTGGTCAACCACGATCTGGAGCTTGAACAGTTAGATGTCAAAACTGCATTTCTTCATGGAGACATTGAAGAAGAAATTTATATGGAACAGCCAGAAGGATTTCGTGTGAAGGGCAAGGAAGACTATGTGTGTCATCTGAAGAAATCCTTGTATGGTCTCAAACAGGCTCCAAGGCAATGGAACATATGCTTTGATAGTTTCATGAAACAACTTGGGTTTAGAAGGTGTGAATTTGATCACTGTGTGTATGTGAAAGAAGTGACTGGAGGAATATATGTCTACTTGCTTCTCTATGTAGATGATATGTTGGTGGCTTCTAAAAGCACGGTGGAGATAGAGAAGGTGAAGAAAAAGTTGAGTGGAAGGTTTGAGATGAAGGATCTGGGTTGTGCAAGACGAATCCTTGGGTTGGACATTTTCAGGGATCGTGCAGGTGGAGTTTTGACATTATCTCAGTTAAGTTATGTTGAAAAGGTGCTTCGAACGTTCAACATGGATAATGCTAATGCAGTTACTACTCCTGTTGGTTCTCAATTTAAGCTGAAAGCTATTGAAGATGGAGAACAAGAGACAGAGATGGAGAATGTGCCTTATTCTAATGCCATAGGAAGCATTATGTATGCGATGATTGGAACAAGATGTGATCTCGCTTATGCAGTTGGGTTAGTGAGCAGGTACATGTCAAGACCAGGTCTGGTGCATTGGGCTGCAGTTAAATGGGTACTGAGATATTTGAAGGGAACAAAGGAACACAAGCTAGTGTTCAGGAAGAATGAAGACTTCAAGGTAGAAGGATTCTGCGATGCTGATTTCTCAGCAGATTTGGATAAGAGGAGATCGATTAGTGGTTATGTTTTCTCAGCTGGAGGGAATGTCATTAGCTGGAGGTCATGTTTGCAATCTGTCGTAGCTCTTTCTACAACAGAGGCTGAGTACATTGCACTTGTGGAAGCTGTTAAGGAGGCAATTTGGCTGAGAGGGTTGTCTGAAGAGATGGGTTTTGAGCAAGATTCAGTGAAGATCTGGTGTGATTCGCAGAGTGCGATTTGTTTAGCCAAGAACAATGTTCATCACGAACGGACTAAACACGTCGGCAGAAAACTCCACTTCATCAGAGACATCATTGAGAAAGGTGAAGTGACTGTTGAGAAGATACACACTTCGAAGAACCCTGCAGACATATTAACCAAGGTCGTACCTGTGAAGAAGTTTGAAGCGGCTCTGAGGGTTCTTGGAGTGGCTAAGCACTAAGGTGTTTAGCATTGCCTGGCAAGTACACGAGTTGGCAACATGGTAGCTGCAGATAGAGCTGATTAGTCATCAAGGTGGAGATTGTTATATTGGTGATGAAGAATCAGCTATGTTGGAAGCTTAAACCACGTCGAGATTGACAATTGGGTTATATGGCAGTTTGGTTTAAACAGCCGGTTAAATATTACTCATGGTTTACGGTTAGGTTAAAAACCGGTTATCAGTTGTAACAACCCTTGCCTAATATAAAAGCAAGGCTCGTGAGTTGTATTAGTNGGAGATTGTTATATTGGTGATGAAGAATCAGCTATGTTGGAAGCTTAAACCACGTCGAGATTGACAATTGGGTTATATGGCAGTTTGGTTTAAACAGCCGGTTAAATATTACTCATGGTTTACGGTTAGGTTAAAAACCGGTTATCAGTTGTAACAACCCTTGCCTAATATAAAAGCAAGGCTCGTGAGTTGTATTAGTTATCAGAGAAAGATAGATTGTACTAGGGTTACAACTTTAGGTCACAACCATCACGTGATCTTGGAGAGTTAGTAATTTGCCTTGCCAGGCCCCAGAGACGTAGCCACATCGGTGAACTCTGGGTAATCAATTAATCTCTGTGTGCTCCTGTCTTATTTTTCGTTCTTCATACAATTCGTGCATACTCGTGTTCCTGAGTGTTTTCCGTGAGAGTTTCGTGTCGTGAATTGTGCAACGTAACTCGAAGTTGAACGATTCGCGGATTAGGTCAAACATCTAAAACGAACTTGAACCCTAACACCACGTAAGACTCCTTCGATCAAGCTCGTGTTCTTCGGTTCCTGGTAAAAAGGGTGAGTGAGATTAGTTGATCCGAACCGTTTCTCTTTGTAGTAAACGGATCCGTCCATGGAGTCGTAGTAAACGCCCACATTTTGGTTTGGGTTGTGAGCCGTTATCTTGAAGCTTATGTGAGAGGTCTCGAAACCGTCAGTTTTGCCCAAACCGGGGAGAGAGAACTCACGTATGTGGACACGGGGTCGATGAGGACGTAGACTGATCCATAGGATGAAAGAAACAATGGCTAAACATAGCAAAATAGACAAGAAGATGGCACATATGAGTTTGGAGACTCTTGTTGTGAGGCTTTCTTTGACCCGATGAACAATATAGCTCGCGGAGTGGTGACGGGATATGGGTCGGGAGGATGGGTCGGATCTTACAGGTAGAGAGCCAATCTTGTTATGCATTTTTGTGGAACTAATAGGAAATAATGTGAATTGTGTTTTGGCTTGTGAGGTTTATGTAGTAGAACTAAAAGTAAAATATACGTATGTGGTAGCCAAGTACAAAGCAAAAGATGCCTTGGAAAATAAAATGGGTATTTCACTTTGGGAAGAAAAGAATTGACAAAAGAGTATCTAACTGTGTATTGCTTTTCTTTATATGCATGTGCAAAGATTTCAAATTTGACAACCAAGTTCGAATTTTTAGATATTGAGTTACCTGACTTCGGTATAATATGATACTATATTTTCTGTAGTGTCTAATGTGGTCTTTAGTAATAAAAGACGTGAGTAAATACTATGATATGATCTAATTTAGTTTTCATATCACATGGGGTTTCTTCCTGCAAAAAGTATCTGTTTAGCAGCTTCTTGTTTTGCTAACATGTGATATGAATAAGTGTTCCTCATAATAATATAATAAAATAACAGAAAAGAATCTTTTGAAACAAGAAACAAAAATAAAGAATAACAACCCAATTTCGTAGAATACTTTTATATCCATAGAATATTTATTTAATGTATCTTGTATGTGATAATTATAACAACTCAATTTTATAGAAGTGGGAGTCCACTTTAAACCCCTAAATATAAAAAGCCGTTCAATGTAAAATTTTTTTTTATCTAGATATAATTTTATGTTTAGTAGTATGGTTGTTATGATAAGACCCTAGTCCATTGTCTTTAATACCAATAAAATGCTATATATTGGTTGTATATATTGTATAAATCATATGATATTCATATTATTGATATTATTCATTTACACTAAATTGATAGTGTGTAATAGGTTACTTCACATATACTTGAATATCTTAACCATAATTTTAAAATATCAATTTCCCATCCTAACAAATATAATATGATGATATGTAGTGATTGAAGATAAATAATTTAATCTCATATTTATTAACTGTTTAGACTAATAATTTATTTTATTTTTATTGAATATTTAAATAAAAACCTTTATTATCGCATTAAATATAACATAAATAGAATATATTGTAAGGCAACCTAATTATTTTTGTAGAATCAGATATTGGTAGTAAGATTTGATTTTCACTCTAAGTAATAAATCATCATTTCCTACATCACATATGATCACCTATATAATATGTATTTTTATTCATCTAAAAAAGTATACATTACGATAACGGTTAGCTTAATTAACACCATCGTTATCTCGACTATACGATTGATTCTCATTCCCACGTAAAATAGACGTTTCACTACAAGAAAACAAAGCATTTACTAGGAAATTTTACTAGGAAAATTCTTCCTCGTAAATTTACTAAGCCTTTACTAGGATCTTACGAGGAAAGCAAATTTCCTCGTAAGCTCCTCGAAAACTTACGAGGAAATACTTTCCTCGTAAGACCTTAGTAAATTTACGAGGAGCTTACGAGGAAAAAGTACTTTTCCT